GCTTTAATGCCTCTTTCTGTTGTTGCCAGCTATCTCTGCTTTAACAGAGCAACAACTGCAGCCATGGCTAGGAAAGGCAGAGCTAAGAGACAGACAGACCTCTAGACAGAGCTCGGCCTGGAATCACAACTAAAATAAAAACACCGTGGCTGAAGGTGTCTCCATTCCTTTTGGCTTTGTTTTGGTTGTCGCAGTCATGAACCTGGTTGTAATGTGTTTAATGGTGATTGATGGCTCTTCTAAGGCCTTCTCCAAAAAATATTGAAGGAGAAAATGGGGAGAAAGCCCAGGGAATACTAAATTTCAGATTGTAGAAAGGGCACTCTTCCTGATAAAAACTGGATTAATAGCGGCTAGAATTCCAAGTCTCTGACTGCAAGATGCTTGTTAGCTCTTTCCAGGAAGGGTCCACCAATATTTAACAACAAATAAATTCCAAAAAATATATATACATATATTAACTGAACTTTGCTTGTTACAGCCTAAATTGGCACAACTCTCATAAAATTTAAAATTTTGTTTCTTTCCTTAATTTTCCTTTAAAGGATTTGAATTACAATGATAATAGATTTGACATAAAGTATTTGAACAAGAGGGTAATGGCTCACGCCTTTAATCCCAAAACAAAGGAGACAGAAACAAGCAGATCTCTGAGTTCAGGATCAACCTAATTGACATAAGAGAAGCGAGGGCAGTAACTCCTGTTGTTAGCTGCTTGCAAAGACAGTCTAGAATTCTAAATGACAAACTCTTCCTTAAGGTTACTATGCAAGTTCTTTTTTCTTAACGAACAAGATGGTATGGTATGTCCTGACAGATCTAAAGTTGGATTTACATCAATTTTAGGTTTATGAAAGGAGAGAATATGTCCTACTGCTCTAAAAAGGCTGGCCAGTCTCCTCAGAAAGTGGGACTTCCACAGGAGAACTGATGCTGAAGGATCTGTTGGTCAAGGTAAATACCCAAAATTAGGCTGGGAGACAAACATGCAAACTGCATGCCTTCCACATCAAAAAAAAAAATTTAAATGCTGACTAAATTAAGGTATCATACTGCTCTGGCAGTTGGCTTATCCTTTCAAACATGAGACATTTTCACAGATGTCAGTCATTACTGATGCACAAAAGACACAGGGGGTTTATAGAAGGCAAAGTACACGCCAGCCTAGTTAAGTCCTAAAACCTCAAAGATTACAATTAATATGTTTAAAAGGCAGAACTGTCCATCCCATATCACAAAAAGCACAAGCCAAAGAATAACCACAATCGATGTAAAAACACAGGGACAAGCTGTCTAGGGTATGCTTAAATTCTAAAGGTAAAAGGACTCATATAAAACTTGGCTATAAAGGCATAATTGCCTATTCCATATAGAAAAGGGGATAGGACAAAAATAGTCACAATATATATAAAAATCCAGGCCTAAACAGGTACATGATGCCTAGGGTATGCTTAAACTCTAAATTAAAAGGGAGTTTATATAAAGTTTACTTAAAACATGCCTTTTCTTTTTTCTCTGGATAACTTTTTAATTTTTATTTTAATTAATTATAGTTTATTCACTTTGTATCCCTCCTATACCTCTATCCCTCCTTTCCTCCCTCTTCCCCACCCATGTCCCTTTCCCGTCCACTGATAAGGGAGGTCCTCCTCCCCTTCCCTCTGATCCTAGTCTATCAGGTCTATTGCTCAAGGCACCAGACTGTCTCTCTATTTGAGGCCTTCTCTCTGGAGATGGGTAGCAGCTTGGCCTAATACAACAGGCACACAAGAGCCCAAAGAGGATATTTAGGGTCATACAACCTTGTTTTGATTTCAACATGAAAATGATTGTATGTTCAATAATAATGGTACCTTATATTGCTGATCCAGCTACATGGGAATAGCTCTGAAACTGACTGATACATGGATGTCTATAAACAGCCAATAATTCTTGTTGGCTACAGAATCCCCATGACATGTACATGCCATCCTTTCATATGGCATAAATATAGACTTACAAATGTCTTTCTTCTGCTCATACAAAGAGCAGAGAGCCATACTTAATTGATCTATGCATCCTGCACATCTCATATTTTACAGTTTTACAACTGTATAATGCTTGTGAGAAATTATATATTTTCAGAACAAAAGAACTGGACTCTGGTGATGCTGGATGAAACCTGATTAGGACTCATCCTTTCAACATGCTGCGACGATGACACATCTGTTCCAGAATCCTCCTTGTTCCAGTCTCAACTGCTTCAATTGCTGTTCTTCATCAAAACCTGTTCCTTGGAGAGCTTTGACAAAGAGCTACTGATCTCAGTTTGGTCCAGCATTTTAGACTGTTCCAAAAAGGACTTCTATCAAGCTTGGAATTTCTCAACATTCAAAGACTGGACCACAAATGTTAATGCTTACTTAATCAACCATTTTTGGGCCCCCAAACAAGATTGCTTTGCCCCCAAAATCAGCTTAAAAAAACCCATGAGAGTGACATCTCATTTCCATTAAAGGGGGGTTAGGCAGGTTTTTCATTGTTTTCTGGGGCTATGAATGTTTATTGTCATTGGAAGATGGTTATAAGGTATTAATGGTCTTGTTCAGAGAGAAAATGAGGTTAGACTCAGTGATTTCTCCCTTTTCTTTTTTTCCTCTTTCTTTTTTTCTTAAGTAAGAAGAAAAGGAGTTAAAAAGAAATAAAAGGAAATACGGGAATATTTACAGGAATAAAGAGAAAAGGTAGATTATTTAATTTACTCAACTTAAGGCTTTATTTCTTATTCTCAAATAAAATTATTTTAAACTCTTTGGTATAGGATTTTGTATATTGCTACAAGTTTAACGTTACTTCCAACACTCTTAAACTGTTCTTACAAACTGTTTAGGATATTAGGTAATGAAAGCTAATTGTTAGTTAATAAATTCATGGTCATGCCAGACACTAGTCTAATTTATCACAGGAATATACACCCTAGGTTCAACAGATAGATATGATTCTATAGATAGATAAGTCTTCAAAAACCTCAGAGACCTACAGAATATGGCATTTAGAAATGTTTTTTATTATTTTAAAGATTCTTTGACAATAAGACATGGCATCTCCTGGCAGCACACAGCCTACCTCAAAGAAGATAATGATCATCACAAAACCTTCACATGGACACGGCTTCAAATATGGCAAATCAGGCCTCCTGGTTTCACAACAGACAGAATTCTGCCTAAAATGGGCAAGCTCAAATGCAGGCCAATTCGACAGCCTAAATATGTCAAGCCAGGGTAAACAAGTCCTAAATAGTCCCTGTTTCACAAATATGTTTTTCAAATATACTGTGACAGAAGGCTGAAAATGATGCTTCAACATTATAGAGAGTTTGGGGTGGCTGTTCAGGTAGCAAACTGTCCATATAATTTTCTATTTTATTTTTTTTGGAAGCTGCTAGCATGCACTTCCTATTTACACAAGTAATTTATTTCTTCTCAAGTCTCTGATAGGGTTGAAGACTAGATAGTTATAGTTTTACAATTAGCTTAGTTACTTAGGAATTAAAAAGATGTTTAAGTGGACTTGGAAAGGGGCAGGGAGGAGATGAAGGAGGGAGGGTGGGGTTGGGAGGGAATGAGGAAGGGGGCTACAGCTGGGATACAAAGTAAAAACCTGTGATTAATAGAAAAAAATTAATAAAAATTAAAAAAATAAAAAGATGTTCAAGGTCTAGATAAATGTTTTTAGGGTGAAAGATACAAACAATAAAATAACGTGCACAAAAACTCAGACCCTCATTAAAAAAATAGATATTTTCTTCAAGATTGCCAAGTATACTTACACTAGACATTACATATGTAAGCTTTAGCTGTTGGTTTTTATAATTGTTTCATAATTCTTACTGTAAAGAAAATGGCCTTTTTATTTAGACAGAAAAGGGGGATTATTGGAGGTTGGTCATTAATAATTATCGAAGAGTAAGAGCTTATCCAAGTGTTAGTAAGACTATAAAAATTGACAAATTAATTGCTCTGATCTCAAAGGACTAAGATGTAGATGAAGTGATTAGGATAAATTATGATAAAAGACTTAAGAAAATTTTTGAAACCTTGCTATGTGTTGAATAGTACAGAGAAAAAGTCTTATGGATTGTTACATTGTTAAGTAGAATTTGAGCCGAACTTCAAGGTAAATTTTAACAATAAGATATTGAGTGGAAACGAGATGAAAGCTGAAAACAATCAATATAATAATTGTGATCCTATTATTTATTTATTTATATTAGGATTTTTAGGGGAGAGATGGTCTCACGCTGTAGCGTAGGCTACCTCAAAACTCAGAAAGTAACCCACACTGGCCTTAAACTTGCTTTAGTCCTTCTATCTCAGCTTCTGCCATACCTAGATTACCTAGATACATGACAACACCACTCTGATCTTTTACCAATTTAGATACTGTCCTAAGTACTGAAAATACACAAAACGATATAATTCCTTCTCATGGACTTCACTGTATATTAACAAATTATTGTCAACTCTTTAGAGAAATGTAAATCCATAAAAGACACTAATAGACAGATGACGATAGATTAGATAGACCAAGAGATACACAAATACATAGATCAATCAGTTGATCTAGAGATAAATAGATAGATAGATGATAGAGAGAAGATAGATAGATAGATAGATAGATAGATAGATAGATAGATAGATAGATAGGAAAGCAGACAAGTAGACAGATAAATAGAAGCAAGAGGATATTGAAGTGAATTAAGGTTGCTTTGCTTGTTTAGGCCTGCAGGTTTTTTCCTGAGAGAGAAAACTTAATCCCTATCTGTGGGAGAATCTCTGCTTCAAAGATCTCCTCATAGGAGTTTGTGGTCTCACCCAACTCAGCAGCAACAGGACTATCCATGCGCAGTATGGAGTAAACAACCGTATTAATTCTCAAATATCTTCCTTTCCAAGGCTCTTAGCAAATCACAGGAGGCAATTTCCTCTTTATTTTTTAAATGTGGTATAAGTTACACTCACATGAGTTTAGAGTGTCATCAGAAGTTCCAACTTGCTCAGCTCCACTCTTTCTGGGTGAACATGCAAACTTGGGATCAAGTGAAGCATTTCTAGGAAGAAGAAAAGTTAAAACATGTCATTATTCTTAAGGAAGATAGGAGGCAACTTCACCAAAATTACTTGAAATTAAAATCTACCTAATAAAATAACCTAGAGGGATAAATTTCTCTCTTTTATCCTTCTTCCATATATATATATACACACACACATGCATATATATATATATATATATATATATATATATATATATATATATATACAAAGAGAGAGAGAGAGAAAGAGATGGCATGCTTGGGGCTTTTCCCAGAAGAAAAGAGGATATATATGAATATACACATATATCCTATTGTATTCTTTATATACAAATGCATATATATATATACATATATATGTATATATACATACATACATACATACATACATATATCCTCCTTAATCATAATATGTAGTTCTGGAAAAGTATTTTCCTTTATGAAGACTTTTAACAGATTGATGAGTCATATTTTTCCAAGGAGAAAACAATCTACGCAGTTGTTTAAGCCTCTCTTCCTTTACACGCTCTGTGTTCGACAAATGAGCTCATTCCTTGTGCCTTATCACACATCATACCACATGGTCTGCTCTTTGGCCTGAAATTCCACATTCCTCTTTTTTTCATGTTCTCATTTGCTATACATCAAACCTCTGTCTCACTCTCACCATTCCTCCCTTCTTCCTCCTCATCATGAAACTACCTATAAAAGTTAGTATCAATCTCATCTACATTTCCACAAATAGCTTTTTTATCTAAATACATAGTGCACAGACAAATAGAAGAGTTATGGCTGGAAATCAGATACATGGCATTCTCATTGTCTGAGTGTAAAGCTAGAGTAGGATGGGAATCTTCTTGTTATTTATACTGTATATAAGCATGGTAATAACACATCTCTTAAAAATTGTAGCAACTAAATATAGTAAATCAGCCATTTAGCTAATAGTGGTAGACTTACATACTAGGAATTGGAAAATCCTCCACAACTAGAAAGTTTTCATTTGTATCTGGAGTACCATTCTCTCCAGTTTTCTTCTCCCATCTGGTCCTATTTTAGTCACCTCCATGGTTGTCTTTCCTTTTTCGTTACAGTGAACTGCACAGTGGCTCTCATCCTGACCACAGATTATTTTTTCTCTTGTTGGAATCATTCTCTGCATGACCTAACACTGAGTTCTAAGTAATATCTATATACTTAGGTTGGCCAAAAATACATTTCATCTCAGACTTCTCATCAGTAGCTGTACTGAGTATAGACAGTTTTCTTGATACACTGACCTGAAGTGCTACGGGAGTCTTAGAGTTAGAATAGACACATGTGAGCTTCCTGCCACCAGCCTGATTCCTCTAAAATCTCTTCATAGGTAAGGAAACGTTTTCTTTCATTTTCTATTTCAAACACATTTGGAGCTACCATTTCACTGTGATGAAAAAAAAAAAAAAGTACTCTGACCAAAACAGCTTAAGAGAGGGAAGATTTTCTTTTCTATTCTTTTCTTTTCTTTTTTCTTTTAGGAAACAGATCATCACACTGGGAAGTCAAGAGAGCAATTCCTGGCAGGAACCTAGAGGAAGAAACTGAAGCAGAGGCCACTGAGGAATGCTGAATGCTGTTTACAGATTGTGTAAACAATTCTGTCTCTGTCTTTCATTCTCTCACTCTAACTTTCATAATCAAAGCCCAGCTAGTTTACTCACACAACTCATACTCAGTTGCCTAAGGATGGATTGCCCACAGTGGATTTACCCATCCTGTAACAGTTAGCATTCAAACAAATGCCCCCTCAGACATCTAAACCATCAATTAGATCTAGGAAAATCCTAGATGAAGTTCATTCCTCTCAGGTGACAAATGTTTATCTTTCCATTGAAGACTAATTGATACATCCTAAACCAAATGTGTTAACATACTCCTTAGTCCTATTTTTATTTATTTTCTTTCTCTTTTTTTTTTTTTTTTTGCTTTTGAACTCAACAAAACTTTTTTTTAAATTTTTTATTTAATTTTTATTAATTACACTTTATTCATTTTGTATCCCCCCATAAGCCCCTCCCTGCCCCACCCTCCCCCCCTTTCCGAATGTATGCCCCTCCCCAAGTCCACTGATAGGGGAGGTCCTCCTCTCCTTCTTTCTGATCTTAGTCTATCAGTTCTCATCAGAAGTGGCTGCATTGTCAGGGTTCTAGGTTATCTCCATGAATTGTCCTTGGTTGGAGTATGAGTTTCTGGGAAGTTCCTTGTCTTCAAATTTTCTTGTTCTGTTGCTCTCCTTGTGGAGTTCCTGTCCTCTCCAGCACTTACTATTTCCCACTTCTTACATAAAATTCCATTCACTCTGTCTGACAGTTGGCCATCAGGCTCAGCATCTGCTTTGATAGTCTGCAGGGCAGAGTCTTTCAGAGGCCCTCTGTGGCAGGTTCTTAGGTTGTTTCCTGTTTTCTTCTTCTTCTGATGTCCATCCTCTTTGCCTTTCAGGATGGGGATAGTCTTATTTTTAAATGTACCACAATGCAAACAAGATTTTCCTTTTGTTCTCAGAGAATACAGCCCCAAAGTACTGTACAGATTTCAAGTGCTGGAGTCTCATTTTTCTACTTCCTTCCCCCCTTTCTGTAGGAACCATTAAAGGGATAACAAAACTGTACATATTCCTGCTCGAAATATTATAGAGATTCCTTACCATAGCTCTCTGCAAAGTAAGGTTTCCTCTGAAGGAGAAAAACCACATGATCCTTAGAAGCTGAAAAAGCATTTGACCATGTACAACACACATTCATGTTTAAAGTCTTGGAGAGATCAGGGATACAATGAACATACCTAAACATAGTAAAGGCAATATACAGCAAGCCTACAGCCAACATCAAACTCAATGGAGAGAAACTTAAATCAATCCCACTGAAATCATAGACAAGACAAGGCTGTATATTATCTCCATATATCTTCAACATAGTACTTGAAGTCCTAGCCAGAGCAATAAGACAACTAAAGGAGATCAAGGGGACACAAATCAGAAAGGAAGAGGTCAAAGTGTTACTATTTGCAGATGATATGATAGTATACATGAGCAACCCCAAAAATTCAACCAGAGAACTCCTTCAGCTGATAAACACCTTCAGCAAAGTGGCAGGATACAAAATCAACTCAAAAAAATCAGAAGCCCTCCTGTATACCAAAGACAAAAAGGCTGAGAAAGAAATTAGGGAAACAACACCCTTCACAATAGCCACTACTAACATAAAGTACCTTGGTGTGACTCTAATCAAACAAGTGAAAGATCTGTTTGAGAAAAACTTCAAGTCTCTGAAGAAAGAAATTGAAGAAGATATCAGAAGATGGAAAGATCCCCATGCTCGTGGAGTGGTAGGATTAATATTGTGAAAATGGCCATCCTGGCAAAAGCAATCTACAGATTCAATGCAATTCTCATCAAAATACCAACTCAATTCTTTACAGACCTTGATAAAAAAAGATTCTCAGTTTCATATGGAGAAACAAAAAACCCAGAATCTCCAAAACAATCCTGTACAACAACAGATCATCTGGAGGTACCTACATCCCTGATCTCAAGTTGTACTACAGAGCAATAGTAATAAAAACTGCATGGTATTGGCATTAAAACAGAAAGGAGGATCAATGGAACCGCATAGAAGACCCAGAAGTAAACCCACACACCTATGAATACTCGATTTTTGACAAATGAACCAAAACCATTCAATGGAAAAAAGACAGCATCTTCAACAAATGGTGCTGGTCCAACTGGATGTCTACATGCAGAAAAATGAAAATAGATCCATATTTATCACCCTGCACAAAACTAAAGTCCAAGTGGATCAAAGACCTCAACATAAAACCAGATACTCTAAATCTGTTAGAAGAAAAAGTGGGGAACAGCCTAGAACTCATTGGCACAGGAGACAACTTCCTGAACAGAACACCAACAGCACAGGCTCTAAGAGCAACAATCAATAAATGGGACCTCATGAAACTGAAAAGCTTCTGTAAAGCAAAGGACACTGTCATCAAAACAAAACAACTACCTACAGATTGGGAAAGAATATTCATTAACCCTTTATCAGACAGAGGACTAAGATCGAGTATATACAAAGAACTAAAGAAGCTGAAAAGCAGAAAACCAAGTAATCCAATTAAAAAATGGAGAACAGAGTTAAACAGAGAATTCTCGACAGAGGAATATCGAATGGCAGAGAAACACTTAAAGAAATGATCAACCTCAGTAGCCATCAGGGAAATGCAAATCAAAACGACCCTGAGATTTCACCTTACACCCATCAGAATGGCCAAGATGAAAAACTCAAGTGACAACACATGCTGGAGAGGTTGTGGAGAAAGGGGAACCCTCCTCCACTGCTGGTGGGAATGTAAACTGGTACAAACACTCTGGAAATGTATCTGGTGCTTTCTCAGACAATTAGGAATAGTGCTTTTTGAAGACCTAGCAGTATATACCACTGCTAGGTATATACCCAAACTTTGCTCAAGTACACAAAAGGGATACTTGCTCAACCATAGCAGCTTTATTTGTAATAGCCAGAACCTGGAAACAACCCAGATGTCCATCAATGGAGGAATGGGTACAGAAATTATGGTATTTTTACACAATGGAATACTACTCAGCAATCAAAAGGGAGGAAATAATGAAATTTGCAGGCAAATCGTGGGATCTAGAAAAGATCATTCTGAGTGAAGTATCCCAGAAGAAGAAAGACAAACATGGTATATACTCACTTATATAGACTGACAAGATTTGATAAACATAATGAAATCTACACACCTAAAGAAGATAATCAAGAAAGCGAACATGGGCAAAGATGATCAATCCTCATTTAGAAAGACAAATGGGATATGCATTGAACGTATGACAGGAGTCTACCGCAGAAGGCATCTGAAAGACTCTACCTAGCAGTGTTTCATAGCAGACACTAATACTCATAACCATACCCTCGGCAGAGTGCAGGGAATCATATGAAAGAAGGGGCGTTAGTATGATATGGAAA